GTAAACGCTTGCTCTGTTTTTTTGTTCATCTCACTACAGCTCAGTAGCGGAAAGCTGTTAAAGCTTATGTTATTGTTTTTGTTTGGTTTTCCTTACTGTCGGAAACATAGCTGAACAGATGCTTTTTGGAGCGACAGAGGCCCAGTGTGTGATCCACGAATGAACGGTGCCCTCTGGTGCCCAGAAGGCAATCACTGGCATTTGCCCTTTTTGGGCTGCTTGGTTTCTTTCATCTCTGTGCCGCCACCCGCACCCCCTCCTCTTTTTTTGCTGGCAGATCTGCTCATTTACTCAGGGACAGCAGCAGGAAACCTTCCTCCTCTTTGCTTTCTTCCTGTAAAGGTAGATCAAGAGCGCTGGACGCCTCCTGGCTGAACTGGGGCAGAGTATGATGCCTCCTTAAGGATGGGAAGAAATTTGCTGACCTAAATAAAATGGCTCATGGTGAAGGAAGGTGCAAAAGTTGGGGGTGGGGAGAGAGAGGGAGGTGTCAGTGAGGGTGAAAAGATCAGTTCTATGCACTTTAAAGTCTATTTGGATTCAGTGTAATCCCTTCCCCTCTCTGTCTGCCAGTGGAATCCCTTCCCCTACAAGGGGGAATTCGTTGTCTTTTCCTGTGTTTTGGAATTGTGTTAAAAAGCCATAGCAGAGTTCTCGTTTGACTCGCGCCATTCTTCTTTTTTATGCCTATAACAATCATGTGCTACAAAATCAATTTTGACTTAGGGCGACCTTTTTTCAGAGTTTTCTTGGTAGGTAAAGGTATAAGTTAAGGTTGCCCTTGACATGTAGTCCAGTCGTGTTTGGAATTGTGTTAAAAAGCCATAGCAGAGTTCTCGTTTGACTCGCGCCATTCTTCTTTTTTATGCCTATAACAATCATGTGCTACAAAATCAATTCTGACTTAGGGCGACCTTTTTTCAAAGTTTTCTTGGTAGGTAAAGGTAAAAGTTCCCCTAGTCCAGTCGTGTCAGACTCTAGGGCGTGGTGCTCATCTCCGTTTCCAAGCCGTAGAGCCAGCATTTGTCTGAAGACAGTTTCCATGGTCACGTGGCCAGCGCAACTAGACACAGAATGCTGTTACTTTCCCACCGAGGTGGTACCTATTCATCTACTCGCATTTACATGCTTTCGAACGGCTAGGTTGGCGGGAGCTGGGACAAGTGATGGGAGCTCACTCCATCACGTGGATTCAATCTTACAAATGCTGGTCTTCTGATGTTGCAGCACAAATGGTTCTGAGGTTTAACCCGCAGCGCCACCACGTTCCCCTTATTTCTTGGTACAGAATACTCAAAAGTTGGTTATCATTCCCTGGGACCGTGCAGTTGGCCCAAAGCCACACTGGCTGGATCTTCTCTCAACAGGCACGGTGGGGAACTGGAGTCCCAACCTTTGGTTCCACAGCCAGAAACGTAAACCACTGAGCTATCCAGTCAGCCTTTTATGCCTATAGTTATGGTTTAATTTCTTTTCTTTTTTAAAGTGGGGAGTATTGAAACTATGAATGCTTGGGAGCCAATCCAGCTGCCCTAGAATAGCTTCCCCCTTTCCACATGTTGGGAGGGGAATACTGTTACTTTGGATGACCAAAATGCACTTTGCACATGTTTAAATGTAGTCAAATACTTTAATGCGGGTGGGGGGTTCAAAAGCAGTGGTTTGTGGTTCAGCAGCTGCAGAACCTTACCTTTTCAGCCATTCATGAACGGGTGACTCATCCTCCAGCAGATATTCTTCTGGACACATGTTCATCTTATATTAACATATAGTTTTGTCTTGCCTACCTTCCACTATTTCTGTCTTCTTCTTTTCTCTCTAGGTTTTGCATTTGCAATTAAAAAATCTAATTAATAGTATTTTTAACATGTAGGTGCGTGACAGCTGAAGCAGCACATGGGGGAATATTGGGGGGGGGGAAGGAGAGAGAGGTAGTCCCCGACCCATATAACGTGGGTTAATTTGAGACAGTGCTCAGGAGACCCCATGCAAACAACTTTTTCTGCTGTAGTGATCCCACTTACAAGAGGCTAGCCCTGAAACCAGCACAAAAGGGGTATTAATTGTCATTAATTGTTAATTTTTAAAATCTTTTTAAGATGTTATTTGCTATGTTTTTATGTATGTAAGCTGCCCCGAGTAGACTTTGTCTGGGGGGGGGCGGGGTAAAAATCAAATAAAAGTAAAGTAAAATAAAAAAAACACAATGCGTCCCTCCAAAAATGGGCAAAAGGGGCTACAGATTTGCATAATGATTGCACATGCAGATTAATCAGTATTATGGAAATTATGGAGGGAGGAAACACAGCACATCATATCATGGTCGGAAAGACAGTGACTAGGTGAACGGTCACATTCCTGCTCCCTATTGAGGGGGCATTTTAAGGTCCCAGCTCTCCCTTCCTACAGCTCTTTATCTTTAAGTTGGATTTAGACCAGGCAGCCCCTCAGAGGACACCTTCAAAGAGAGATCTGATCTCTGACTGTCCCTCAAATAGAGAATCTGTAAAATAGGACACATAGTTACCTATTTCAGGAACATACAGGGGGGGAAAACAGGAAATGAGCCCCCATCCACCCATCTGCTCACAGGAGAGCACCTCTATCCCCTGCACATCGTTGCTTCCTGAGCACCAGGGTGGCCTCTTGAAAGCTCTCTGGCCTCAAATGTACAGTATCTTTTTTAAAAACCCAAGAAGATGCTTGGGCAGGCTCTCACTTTTTGCAAGGAGCAACAGAAAAAACCCTCAATGGGTTGCTCCACTGTGCAGGCATGGAAGCCTTGCAGAATCAGAAGGAAGGGATGTGAGAGAGAATGTCCTTGATGCTCAAGGATGTCCTAGATTTGAACCAGATCTTTCTCACGCCTCCTTCTGTTGCTCATTACCATTGCTGTATCGTTAGTTTTGTTTCAACATATGTTTGCCTCCCACCGGACTTGTTGAAAGCCATTGTTCCACAGTTGTTGTTATTTTCTAGGAAAATACCTTAGAAAATGCAATTTTAGGGAACTATGCTTCTTCCTCATACCTTGCATGCTTTTCCGCGAGAGTGTTCCCACAGGCTTTTATGGCCGGGATCTAATGGTTGTTGTGGATTTTTCGGGCTCTTTGGCCGTGTTCTGAAGGTTGTTCTTCCTAACGTTTTGCCAGTCTCTGTGGCCGGCATCTTCAGAGGACAGCACTCTGTGCTCTGGTGTACTTTGCTTGGGAGTCAAAAACAAAACAAAACACACATCACTCCCAAGTAAACTACACTGGAGTACAGAGTGCTGTCCTCTGAAGATGCCGGCCACAGAGACTGGCAAAACGATAGGAAGAACAACCTTCAGAACAAGGCCAAAGAGCCCGAAAAAAACACAAAAACCAGTGTTCCCACAGTATGTATTCCGATATTTATGCTAGTGGGATCCAGAAGCCACGTGGAGCAATCCATCAATGGAAGAGTTGGAAGATCATGACTGACCCCGTGTGTGTGTGTGTGTGTGTGTGTGAGTTGGAAGATCATGACTGACCCCATGGTTCTACTCTGGCCAACAGCAGGGTGGAATCTGGCGTGTGGAGGTTCTGCATCCACATGATCCTAGGACACCCATGGATGTATCACAAAAAGAGGGGAAGAGAAGGCATCTCCTAATAACATTGTGTCTGCGATAAAGCACTGGAGTAGGGCTCAGGAAAGCTAGGTTCAAATGCCTGCTTAGCCACAGAAACTCACTGGTGTGTGTGTGTGTGTGTGTGTGTGTGTGTGTGTGTGTGTGTGTGTGTGTATTCTGTGTACTTGAAAACTCTGTTAGCTTTGCACACAGCAATCACAGTTATTGTGGTATCTTTTGTGGAAGATTTGAATAAATTGTACCAGTATTTGTGCCCCCACACAGGGAAGGCACTGATTGTTAGATGTACTAGGATTCACAGGTTCATTCCTAAATGACCGTCTTGTGTACCGTGAAAACTCTGTTAGCTTTGCACAAAGCAATCACAGTTATTGTGGTATCTTTTATGGCAGATTTACATAAATTGTACTGGTATCTGTGCCCCCACACAGGGAAGGCACTGATTGTTGGATGTTACTAGGATTCACAGGTTCATTCCTAAATGACCTGTCTACACACATCTGGAATTGCTTCAACACACATCTGGAATTGCTCCCTGAGGTCTCACTTCCAACACAGATTGCCCTCCCCTTTAGCCTATCTCCTCCGTCCCTCTTCCCACCTACTTCACTCTCACCTCCCTCCCTCCTTCCCTCCCTCCCTTCTCCATTTTACCCATCCACATGGCATGGAGAGGTGGGCACTGGCTAAAAGAAAAATCCGCATAAAGAAATGCCATCAAATAATACACACTCACAAAGTGCATGGCTCAGCATGGAACAATGGAATACTAGGGTCCCCATGACCGAATCTTGCCCTGGAGCAAAGCAGAACAATAACACACCATCGCTCTGTGGTGGCGTAAAAAAGAACAACCCCTAAAAAGCACAGATTTTTGTCCTGCTGTAACTTTGTTGACACCAGTTTCAGCCTGCATTGTGTGGACCCTGGCATGCACATGGGTTCAAAGAAGGTCGAACCCCTGCACAGTAGGGGAAAACTCTTAAGTTTAGCCTTTACGTTGCTACAAGACTGAATTGTTTTTGCTGCCATGGGCCGATGCTTCCAGTTTTCCCTTGTTTATGACCATGCAACACGTACCACGAAGCGATATTTATATTGTGTATTTGTTTTGCCTCGTTGTATCGCATCAACCATAGCATTTAAACAGCATTTACATCCAACCCATTCCAGGTTCAAAGTCTGTTCTTGCAACTACCAAAGTCATAAGGTGTTTTGTTCAAAAACAAAACAAAACAAATCAAAAAATGGAGGCCCATCATTTTGTACTCCTACACTGTCCCCTGGTGGCAATCCTGGGCCCTGTGTCTTTGGACTGTGCTTGCAGATACTGTCGGAACCTCTACAACTCCCTCCCTCCCCTGTCGCTAATGCCAGTCTGCTTCCGTCAATCAAATCTTTCTCCCCTCGCAAGATGGCAAGACAGAGCCTGCTTGGCAGCTTTTTCTTTGCAGGCAAGTTTGTTCGTAGTTTTTATATGGGAAAAAGAGGATTGTACCGCTCAGGATATATGCTTATAGGTATTTTCTCTGTTTGAGCCACAGGTTGGAACAAGAGGTATTTAGTAGGAACTACACAGAAGCTCATTTTAAGACCTCAGGGAACTATAGGAAGGGTTCAGAAATGAAACGGTGTTTGGGAGCTATTTTAAACCTTTATATATTTTTTTTAAAAAAATAATGATACAATCGTGTACTTCACTCTGGAGAGGAGAACTAACCATACATTTTCTCTCACTCTTCTGTCTCTCATTTGACACCTTTTAAAAGAAGAACGTGCGTGCTTAAAATTCTTAGTAATCAGAAAGCTTGTCCTTCTCGCTGCCTCTCTTAGGCACCTTCTAATTTTAGTGTCAGGCGGCAGCCGCTTTTGTTCGTTGCTTGGACCGGAGGTGGTGGTTGCCATGTTGGTTCAAGAGAACAGCGAGTGACAGCATGGAGGAGACAAACTTTCCCAGGAACAAATTTCAAGGAGTGTAGAAGTGCACAGGCTTTTGAGTTACACAGAATTCTGGTCTGGCTGAGCTAGCACCTAAATTCGGCAAGGCAAAAGCCAAATCTCAAAGGCAGTGTAATGTAATAAGCTGTGTTAGAAAGCTTGCATGGATGGACATAAACTGGTTAGTTTAGAGCTGGGCTCCAACAATTCCCCACAAGACAAAAGAGTTGCGTTAACAGAGATTGCTTCGTTCAAAGTGCCCTTTCTGGTATGATGACACCTGTGGTCACAGTGACCATTTGAATTGATTTCTGTTCACACTTTAAAAAAAATCAGCCTCGAGTCACATAGTATTTAAACCGGTGACCACGTTCACATGCACTGAATGGAAACTGATTTATTTCTGGTGATTTAAACCAGTTTTGGTAGGTACACTGCTGAAACTTTCTAGTTTCTAGGGTTAGGTATAGTGCTTCTCAAACTTGAGTCTCCAGATGTTCTTGGACTACAACTCCCAGGAGTCCTGTTCAAGCCGTGTTGACGACATCTGGGAACTGGAGTCCAAGAAAATCTTGGGAACCCAGTTTGAGGACCACAGGTACAGAGCACTTAGAAGAGATTCACCAGTCTCCTCTTCGACGGGTCTCCCTAGGACTGTGCAGTTTGCCCGAGGCTGGCTGTATTCTCACCCGGGAGTCACAGTGGACCACTGAACTCCAAATTTCTTGCTCTGCAGCCAGGCACTCCTGCTCACTGAGCTATCCAGAAACCAATTCATTAAAAATATTTCAAATATTTATTTACACAGTTGGCTGCCAGAAGTACTTGCTATGAATTAAAAGGTATCACTGATTAGATGGGGTTCTTACCCTAATGACAGGAATATCAAGAGTGCATAAATAAATAAGTAAATAAGTAAATAAGTAAATAAATAAATAAGAAGCAAAAAGAATTTAAAGAATTTCTGTATTTTTTTTATTTCTATAAAAATAAATCAATATTGACATTGAAAAGAAATAATAATAATTTCCTATTTATTCATTTAAGCCTTCATGGTTTTCACATCCATTTCAACAGAGTCCCAGGATGGTTTACTTTGTTTCTTAATTTATTGATTGATTTATGCCCCACCTTTCTTTTAAAAGTATTATTATTGGAATGATAAAACAAATTAAAACAGATACACTGGGAAGGCAGTGCCAAGGAACGCCTAACATTATCAGACTCTGACCAGCAGGACAGAGGGAAGTATTTGTCACTGTAATGCTCTGCCTCCTCCTTTATTACTGGGAGGAAATCATTTAAGGATGAGATCCAGCGTTGGTCTCAATATTCTTGTGATGGACCATGGATCTGGGCCTGGAACTGGAAGGGCTTTGGATCCAGTGAAACCAAGGCTTCTCCTGGTCTGCTTATACCCCATCCCAGTCATTGCTGTTGTTTTTGTAAGTATTGTGTGATGAAATACAACAATGTAAAATAATAATCAGCAGAAATTACTGTATTTTTCGCTCCATAAGACGCACCAATTTTTTGGAAGAAAACAGGAAAATATAATCTGTTTTCTTCGCTCCATAAGACGCACAGACTTTCCACCCCCCTGTTTTGTGGGGGAAAAGTGCGTCTTATGGTGTGAAAAATACGGTAATACCAATCCGAAGCAAGAGAAAAGAAAAGCTGTTGACTGGGGAGCAGTTTGGATCATTACAAGATAGACAATGCTGGCTTCTGAGCAAGGTAACTCATTTTGAATTTCAGCAACGTAGAAATTCCAGTTTTCCAATAGTATCAAATTTTTCTTTGGGCTGTAGTGAAATTTGGCTAACCCTCAGCTTTTCAGAGTAAAGGGCAGGGGACAAGATAGAGAAGTTGTCTTCTCTGTGGTAATGACATTTGGGGCTCATTCGTAGAGTTGCCATAAGTTGGAGACAACCTGGCAGTGCATAACAACATGAACAAGATGTTTTGTGCAGTCAAATTACTGTTTTGGATCTAATCCCACATCCTCTCTACTCTCTACTAGGACTCCTTTTTAACAGGAGTTTGGCCGACACCCTACCTGTCCTCACTCTCCCTGCGATGGTTGGAAAAATTTTTGTCCATGAGTTGGAAAGAGAGGGCTTCAAAGATGCCTTTCCCTCTCCCATGGATGACAAGGGTAAGGAGATCCAAACTTTTCTTTTGCTGCTCTTCATCTCTTTCTCGTCCACTCATCCATCCCTATGAAGAATTGATTGATTGATTGATTGACTGACTGACTGACTTGCACTGGCCACACTGGCTAATGAAGGTTGTAGCCAAGTGACATTTCTAAGTTCTGTTGCCAATATTGGCTGAAATCCTGTTGGGGAGTCCCAGTAGGCCATTCCTTTTGAATCAGTGAGGACTGGGTGAGTCAACCCTTCCCTAAGTTCCATTGATTCAAGTGGGTCTAATTGTGACTTACTTTAGCATAGTAAAGGGCAACTAGAGCAGGTCCATTTGAACTAATGGAACTTAACAGTGGAGTTCACTGACCAAATCCCCACTGACTGAGTAGGTCTACTTTAGGGTGGCTTACTATGCCAAGCAGTAGGATTTCAGTCACTGTTGGCCTTTTTTTTTCTTGTTCTTTCTCTTCTCGATCTAGATCAGAGCCTGGAAGTGATCATTTCTGCTCATCCAAAGAATTAATTCTGTTTTCCATTAATGAAGAGCTAACTGCAGTGCATTACAGCTGTAATTAAAGGAGGAACAATTTCATTCTTTCTTTGGTATAATTGCAGCTTTTTACTTACTTCACTAGTTAGGTGCTGCTGAATAAAAAAATCTGGTTGTTCTAAAAAGTTAATTCAAAAGTAACTATTCTAGGTGGACTTTTAGGGGCTTTCAAAGATCTGTCTGTCTGTCTGTCTGTCTGTCTGTCTGTCTGTCTATCCCCACCCACACCCACACTCACACTCACTTCCACTCTTTATTTTTCTTCCATGATTTCTACCCTCCCTCCCTCCCTTCCTCCTTCCTTCCTTCTCCATTTCCAGCACATTCCTGAAATGTCAGGAATGTCACCTGCTCATATCTGACCTGTCCACTCTACTTCTAGTAAAAGAATCAGGAAGACGGTAGGAAAAAGTTGGTTGAACAAAACCCATAAATTTCCTTGTCTGCTATTAGTTTCAAATTACACATTATACACTATTTGTCATTAGGCGAGGGAATTTTCAAGTACTGTAGGACATCTGACTGTCAAAGCACAAGCTTTTCAAACCTCCTGTAGTTTGCCAATTAACTTACTTCTTTTTTTCTGATGGGACAGTAGGAGATAATTATAGACTTCATGAGTAAGTATGATTATCCAGAAATAAAAGTCTACCAGAAATCCTCACTGGAATGCTAACATGACTTCATCTTCTAATGATACGTTGTCTGTCATGTACTGTTTATCTTGATCAATCCACTGAATCTGTTCATAAACTAATTCTGGCCTTGTCTGCTTTGTCCTTTCAAGGACCAATCTTCTTGCTAACATTGCCCACTCTCTGGTGGCAGACATACAATAAATGTTTAACCTTGGCCTCATATCTTACAGAACTGGCTGAAGTTCCCATCACCTTCCATGCCAACCTTCTAAATCATCCTGACCTGCCCCGGTGGCTGCGCTATGTTCAACGCAATCCCTTTGAAACAGGATATCTATATGGATCTGCAACAAGTGAAGATGTTGGTGAACAGACAATTGAGGTGTGTAAAGTGTATTTTAACTCCCCACCAGGCAGAAGGATTGTGTGTTTTAACTGAGTGCATAGATGGTTTGTGACCAGAATGTGTGGTGCCCTACTCCCAGTTTCAGGGGTAGAGTTCCTCCATCCCCTCTTGAGTTCAAGAAACTCCATTGTCTGAAGGATTTCTTGAACTAATGGTTTGCCCAGATGAAACATTTCTTCCTGTAAAGGTACCACATTCATTGCTGGTGGTTTGAGTATTTTTCCCACCATCCATCTGACACAAGGCTTGGCCCGATGTGATCTATTCCTTTCCTGCTGCCTTTCCATGCTTTTTTGTTCTTCCTGATGAGGGTGCTTTAAATCGTTTAGGGATTTGTTCTGTAGATATAGACAGTTTTTCCTATGGAGAACTCATCTCCACATTAGAGCCTCTGAATAGGAGGTTTTTAATAAGCACACCATTTTAGCATTTTATCAAAAGAAATAGCGAAGCTCCAGGCAGGGACAGGATTCCTGGACAGGATTTCAAAGATCTCCTGGAAAAAAATTCATCTCTTTCAAAAATGTGGTTCTTTAAAGTTCATTGTGGGCATAAATTCCTGTAAGCCCCCCAAGTATGTAGAATTTTCCCCCTCTCCAGATAAGCGCTATGTTTAAGTCCAGATAGTCTCTCAGGTAGCACCCGGATTTTTATTTCTATTGCTAAAGTTAAACTTTGCTTATGCCATCACAATTGGAGGGTGGCCCCTCCCATTTTGAAAGAGAATTGCTCTCTTTTTGAACAGTAAAAGGATAGTTCTGAATTTGAAAGACCATCCAGCCTGGATTTAAGATAAAGAAACATGGTCGGGAGAGCAGGGACCTTGAAATTTGACATCAGGGGCACCTTGTCAGTTGACCCATTAGGCACATAGGGCACCTGATCCCAGGTTCCCCACTGTGATGTAGGGTTGCCACTACTTACTCATCAACAAAGAAGAAAACAAAATAAGACATTGGTACACATAAAATTAAATATGTTGATTTATGGGCACAGATACCAAATTAGAAATACATCTCTCGTGTGTAGACTTTGACCAGGTGACCTGCATGCCTCAGGATGCCAGCTTTGTAGATAAACAATCGGGGTGCGAAATGCATGCCTCAGGATGCCAACTTTGTAGATAAACAATCGGGGTGCGAAAATAGGCGATATCTTTATAGACCACTAAAAATCATCATACAGTTAGTGGTATTTTGTGGATAAAACTCCACTCCGTCAGCTTTGTACCAGTGTAAAGAACATAACATCCAAAACCTAAAGTCTAAACATACACGGCAGGATGGGTTTTGCCAGGAAAGTTGCTCTTAGATGGAAGTCAGGAGTCTGAGATAGCTGTAACCATCAAACAGCAACCAGAGTCTTGACTTCCATCTAAGAGACAAGCTGATGAAATCCATCCTGCCAAGAACTGCTGAACTCATCATCTAAGAGTTAGATTAACGCCAAAATGATGTTACCTAGTGGTTGCAGTCCTGCTCTGCTGATGTTGAGAGTCCACGTGCCTCCTTCTTGGTGGGGAGAGGCAGCTATTTCTTAGTATCCTCAATTCCACTGCAGTAGAATGTGAATGCAAAATTAGGGAATACCTGAGGATTCTTGATTTTTCTCTCTTTATGTTTAAACCAGACATGGACTGGGCAGCCCACTGAATAAGGGGATACTTCAAGAAAGAGCTGTCTGGGTTCCTCGATTTCTCTCTATGTTTAAACCAGACGTGGACTGGGGAGCCCATTGAATAAGGGGATACTTCAAGAAAGAGCTGTCTGGGTTCCTCAGTGGTTTACGCATCTGGCTGCAGAGTCAGAAGCTGTGAGTTCGGTTCCGCATTGTGCTTCCTGCAACTAGCTTGTGTGGCCTTGGGCAAGCTGCACAGTCCCCGGGTGTCCCTAGAAGAAGGGAATGGCAAACCACTTCTGCGTTATCTCCACTGTGAAAACCCTGGAAAGGGTTGCTGTAAGTCAGAATTGACTTGATGGCACACATTTAGAGGATTGTCCTTATTCTGTGTATTCTCCACTGTGAAAACCCTGGAAAGTGTTGCTGTAAGTCAGAATTGACTTGATGGCACACATTTATTGTTATACTATTACTCAAGAAAGAGGATTGTCCTCAGGCAGCTTTTTTAAACAGAAGGTTGTAAAAGAAGACACATGGCTACACTACTGAGCCGAAAAGTATCGCGTTTCTCCTTCAATTATAGGATCTCACCCCGCCCCCACATTTACACTCCTAAATACAAATTCCCATGTGCCTGAAATGTAAATCAGTCTCTTTTTGTTATCTTGTTTCTGTTGATGGGTACATGAAAATGGCAAAGCCAGACAAGGGCAAAGCATGAAGCTTCACTTTTCCTTTAAATTCAGGAAATAGAACTGCTGAAAAGTGAACAAAAGGGATTGTACATGGCATGGATGGTGGTGGTACAGAGAGGCATGTTTTGAAAATCCCATTGGATCCCTTACTAGCACTTGGGTCTTACGTCCATTGAGATCAGCAGTCACCAGGCTTTTTAGTGGCCTCTCAGAGGCTGTAGAGCGATGCTTCCCAATCTTGGGTCCCCAGATGTTCTTGGACTACATCTCCCAGAAGTCCTAGCCAGCTCAGCTAGTCATACAGGCTTCTGGGAGTTTCAGTCCACGAACCCCTGGGGACCCAATGTTGAGAATCATTGCTCTAGAACTGCTTTTTAAGAGTGGGTCACCTGCCTCCCTGTTAGCTATCTTTCTATCATTCATCTTTTTATTTAAGTAGGAATGTCACGACTGACTTTGCTGCAGAAAGAATATTTAACTGAGTGAGTGAAGTATTTTCTTTAGCCAGTGTTTTATATCTTGTGTTCCAGTTTTTTAAGGCATTGTTTCACGATAAGCTTTTTTGTGTTTGTTCTATTTAACTGTAAGCTGCCTTAAGCCCTTTTCTTGAGAGGAAGGCAGGATATAAATCAATGAAATAACTAAATAAATATATAAATGGCCCAATGCCAGATCTGAATGTGTACCTCTAAATAAATAAAACAGTGTTAAACTTTGGAGGGGTTTTTTTTTTTTCGCTTAGTCTATAAATCTGGCTTTAAGTCTCCAAAACATTTTTTATCCTCTGTTGAAATTCGTTTTTTGTCTTGAAGGGTGCTTTGTCATTCTTGTTATTTTATGAATAAGTAACTGAGGCACCACATTACTTTCTTTTCCTTGTGGCAGGTGATGGCATATAACAGGTATACCTATGAGACTGTGAGGCAAACAATGATCATACATATTTTCACCTCTTCAGGTAAATGATTCCTCATTTGCATGAAAGATATGCTGCAGTTATATTTTTCCCTTCCTTTCTTTTCCTTCCTCAACTTCATTAGAAATACTGTTGTTTCATTTAAAACATGGTGCAGATACTCACTTCCTAGATTTTTTTAAAATAAGCTTTTGTTTGGGTTGTAGGGAGAACTCTGTCTGGCATCCTGTGGGAGGGAGTTCCAAAGTCTGGGAGCAGCAACAGAGAAGGCCCTCTCCCATGTCCCCTCCAAATGCACCTGTGAAGGTGCTGGAATTGTTGTTTAGTCATTTAGTCGTGTCCGACTCTTCGTGACCCCATGGACCAGAGCACGCCAGGCCCTCCTGTCTTCCACTGCCTCCCGGAGTTGTGTCAAATTCACGTTGGTTGCTTCAGTGACACTGTCCAACCATCTCATCCTCTGTCGTTCCCTTCTCCTCTTGCCTTCACACTTTCCCAACATCAGGGTCTTTTCCAGGGAGTCCTCTCTTCTCATGAGATGGCCGAAGTACTGGAGCCTCAGCTTCAGGGAGCACTCAGGATTGATTTCCTTCAGAATGGATCTGTTTGTTCTCTTTGCAGTCCAGGGGACTCTCAAGAGTCTCCTCCAGCACCACAATTCAAAAGTATTTTTATAATTTTTTTTATTGCAATAAGTTAAAAAAATAAAAAATAGCTACGTCAGTTTTGACCTGCTGTCTCAAGTGTCATAGTGTAGTGAAGATGCAGGTTTGCCTCCTGTTTCTGAGCACAACACACAAGTATTCTAAACAATGAATTGCTTTCTTTACAGCCCTTGTTTCAAAGTGTTTTACCATTTAAGTCCTTGATTTTGTGAGGCCTGTAGCAAATTCTTACTTTTGCTGAGGAGAATAAAACCTCCTGACAGGAATGGGACCATACGACCATACATATTTTCTTTCTTTCTTTCTTTCTTTCTTTCTTTCTTTCTTTCTTTCTTTCTTTCTTTCTTTCTTTCTTTCTTTCTTTCTTTCTTTCTTTCTTTCTTTCTTTCTTTCTTTCTTTCTTTCTCTCTCTCTCTCTCTCTCTTTCTTTCTTTCTTTCTTTCTTTCTTTCTTTCTTTCTTTCTTTCTTTCTTTCTTTCTTTCTTTCTTTCTTTCTTTCTTTTTCTCAAGTTAAAAGCTTACAGTTACGTCCAAATTCAGAACTATGGCTTGTTCTAAGCTAGCAAAAGGAGCAGGAAGGAACTAGGCCAGAACTGGTCTCAAGATTATGTGCCCAAACTGAATGCTGCTTGTATGCAGAGGTTACTGAGGCTAGATCTATTGGGGGGGGGGAACCCAGCCAGTTTTGTGGAAGACACATGAAGATCAGAATCGGTGAAAACTCAAGTAAAATATAAAGAGCTCAGAAGGATATCTTCAAAAACAAAAAGGACTCAGGAAACATCAAAATGGAAAGGAGAGAGGTAGCACTATACTCTACAAGTTTATTAGAAAGGAAGTCTCACTGCATCCAATGGGGTTTGCTCTCTAATTTGGAGTTTATGGTTGCAAGCTTAATGCAGGTGTGCATAAAATGATGTGTTAAGGAACAGCCTTTTCCCAAGACACTTCAATGATTTGTGATCAGTGCTTGGAATTCTTATGAAAGCAACTGGGGTTGGCAAACACAGCATGGAATCTTCTTTCCTTTATGCCAGGCTATGGTATGGCTATACTAGAATATTATTATTTCATATCAAAAGTATACAATAGCACTGGGAAGATTATCAAAGGTTTGGAAGTACTTTGCATAGCAGGACAGGCTGAATTGTTGGAGGTTTTTTTTAGTTTAGATGAAAGAAGGACTAAAGAGCACAGTGAAACTTTTTTTAATGGTTATTGATCAGAGATATTTCCTCTCTTTCTCGTAATAACACAGTAGAATCAATAAACCTGATTGGCAGTTTATAGTGCTTTTAGAAGGTAAAAGGTAAAGGTTCTCCTTGACAATTTTTGTCCAGTCGTGCCCGACTCTAGGGGGCGGCGGTCACCCCGCTCTTCAAGCCATAGAGCCAGCGTTTGTCCGAAGACAATCTTTCCGTGGTCACATGGCCGGCGCTGTGGGCTAAACCGCAGAAGCCTGTGCTGCAGGGTCAGAAGACCAAGCAGTTGTAAGATCAAATCCACGCGACGGAATGAGCACCCGTCGCCTGTCCCAGCTCCCGCCAACCTAGCGGTTCGAAAGCATGCAAATGCGGGTAGATAAATAGGGACCACCTCGGTGGGAAGGTAAACAGCGTTCCGTGTCTAAATCACACTGGCTTTTAGAAAGGCTTAGACAAATTGACAAAATGTATATTTATTGTGTTGTAGACTAGCCTTCCCAATATGGCATGCTCCAGAGGTTTCTGGGCTGTACATCCATTATCCACAGCCATTGTGAACTAGCTTTGGGCAATTGAAGTTGTTGCAGCCAAGAGCACTTGGAGAGGGCTAACCCTTGGAATAGCCCAATGGTCTGTGCTCTGATCCAGCTATGAAGGGTCTTAAGATGGCTGTTGTGAGAAGAGCTATTCCTACACACCTCACATGGCCATCTGTTTAACTTTTATGCTATAAAGATTACAGTGGTGCCTCGTTTGACGATGTTAATTCATTCCAGCGAAATCGCTGTAGAGCAAAAACATCGTCAAACGAAATAAAAAAGCGTATTGAAACGCATTAAAACCTGGTTAATGCATTCCAGTGGGCTGAAAACTCACCGTCCAGCGAAGATCCTCCATAGGGGCGGCCATTTTCCATGCCTGTGCAGTAAGGAATCCATCCCTAAGCACAGCGGGGGGCCATTTTCTTCAGCCGGCGGCCATTTTGAAACCCGACGATCAGCTGTTTTTGATCGTTGTAAAGCGAAAATTGGTTCCCAAAGCAGGGAACCAATCATCGCTAAGTGAAATTCCTCCATTTAGACTGTCATTTTGTGATCACAATTGCGATCGCAAAAACCTCATCATAAAGCGATTTCCTCGTTAAGCGAGGCAATCATTAAGCGGGGCATGACTGTAGTAGGATTTGTTTCGGCGTAAGACCAACTTAGTCCAACCTCAACTTACTCCCAACACCTCAACTTGTTTTTCTGGTTTCAGTCCAACAGACCATAGTTTTAGTGTGAGGGAACCAGCTTGTGTCGAGACTGTGAGGTTTGATGTCTTTGCTACATTGGCATACAGGGATCAGTTTGCCCTTTCGGGGGAGACGTGCATGCAAGTGATTCAGCCTGGATTTCATGGTTTTACTAAAGTAGGCGGCCACTGAAGTCAGCCCAACCAGCTTGGTCCCTCCTATCACCTCCTGCTTCTACTTTAGCATCCTTCTGTCCCTTTTCTCTTTAGATGGAGAGATGCCGTATCAAGCTGAGTTCTTGGTGAAGAACTGGGATGTGGAGGAAATGCTACCCATCGATGCCCAGGAACTTTTTCAGCAAGCTGTGGACAACATGTGGGAACAAGAAGGCCTGACTATCATTAATATCACCTCAGCCTTAGACCGAGGAGGGCGTGTACCTTTGCCGATTGAAAACAGGAAGGAAGGGTAAGGTTTTGAAGCCATTAAATCTGCTGGGGAGTGGGTGGGACGGCAGCCTGATACAAACACTGTCAAGCATTTGGTCTTTTCAGAGATGGCTCAGGAAGATCTCTATAGGGCAATTCACATTCTCTAGGCTGTTACCTCATGGCTAGAGTTGGAAGAATTCACACAATTATTTGGGAAGTGTGTATGTGTGGGAAATCTCCACAAGGCAACCTTTCCCTTCACTATCTATATCAGCTTCTCTACTCCTCCTCCAGGCATGTTTATTTATCTCTATCAGCTGTATGCTGCCTTGGAGAGTATTTTCAACAGTTGGACAATACAGTAAATGCAATAGGATGATGGATGTAAGTCTTTTTCTGACTCTGTTGTTTAGCATTCGTATGAATCCATATGATATGCCATTCTATCCCAGAACATTTTAGGGACAAATTAGGCAATGTCTAATTCAAACAACTGCATGTTCTAAAAGAACATTGCACATGTCTCCTGATATGAGTTGGGACCTTGATATGAGATTTAGAAACTTTAATTATTTGTACCTTCCTTTGTAGTCTAGATTCCCTCATCCTTCATAACCATTTGGTTTTGGAGTATATGGAAAACAATGGAAGCTGTGTTTTTTTTAAAAAATGCAAAGAGCAGTCTCACCCTCCAGATCTGGATTGAGATTATAGCTCAATGGATAGGGATTAAATTTCCTAGACTCCTTTACCTTGGTTCATATTTGCATCAAACAGTCCCTGGCAATTTCTTTCTTAAAAGCAGTTTGCACGGTTGCTAATTGTATGACTAGAGCTTCATGTAGCTTTCCTCACAGCAGTACGGCAATGGAATCAGTTACCTCAGGAAGTGGTGAGTGCTCCAACACTGGAGGCATTCAAGAAAAATGTAGACAACTGCCGGGCAGATATCCTTTGATTTGTATTTCTGCATTGAGTGGAGGACTTGAACTCAGTGGCCTTATAGGCCCCTTCCAACTTCACTATTCTATGATTCTATGTGAGATTTGCAACACGGGGAAACTACTTGGTTGAGAATCATGGCTGAGCAGGGTGTTCCCTCCCCCTAGTCTACATTTTGCATCTCAAATTAAACCTGTCATGCAATACTCCTTAATGTTACAGTGCTAATAGTCAATATTAGGCCAGTGTTCTTTGGATGACTGAGGCGAGAGCTGAGGCAGAGTGAGGCACCTGTCGTAGATGGAAGATGTTGGGGTCTTCCTGCTGTTCTCTCCTTCTGAACCCCCTCCCCTCTTTCGAGGACAAAGCTGTGTGTAATCTACAACCTTTCTACATCTGCTAACTGGCCTAATTCCCTCCCCTGTGGCAGGGCACTCAACTTCACTGTCAGGGTTGAAATTCGGCCCAGCTGCGAGGCCAGTTGACTTTGGGTGGGGAAGGGAATTGTCTCTTGCCTCAGGCAGCAAAATATCTTGGGCCAGTCCTAAATAGGAACGGAACCTTTTCTACATAGAAGCTGTTGTTGTTATGTGCTGTCAAGTCTGAAGCGACTTATAGGTACCCTAATAGGGCTTTCAAGATAAATAAGATATTTAGGGAGTGGGTTTTACTAGTTCCACATCCCCAGTGAGTCTCCACTCCTGAGTCGTAGTCCATCACTCTATTCACTACTACATCACACTGGGCATGGAAAGCAAGGAGGCTACAAACTAGCATGAATGGTATATACTTTGGTAACTAAGCCACAACTAAAATGGCTGTTCAGATCAGAAAGCAGTAAGCCTGTTCATCTATGGATGTTCATCTCTTTGGCCTAAAGACAAAACCCAGGCACTTTCTGCTTCACAATCTCATGTCATGTGAGTTCTCAACCCTCCTTCACACGGATCTTTAGTTATGTGCTGTCAAGTCAGAACTGACTTATACTGATTCTAATAGGGCCGAGGTCGGTGAGGTATTTAAAGAATGGTTTCACCAATTCTGTTCCTCCAATGAGTTTCCATGGCTAAGAGGGGACTTGAACACTGGTCTCCAGAGTCCTAATCCATCGCTCTGTCCACTAAACTACAGTGGTTTCCCCTTTTACTCCTTCTCATCTACCAAATGTAGCATATGCGTATGTTTGGAGGATTGACTTTGTTTCTTTCCATCTCTGTCATTACACAGTAATTTTCTTTCCCCTTTTCTTAGCATGCTCTGTTTCTTCCAGAGCTCGGGGAAGTTACAAGTGTTAGGATCCCACAGTCAACATGGCCTCTGGATGGGTGATTATCGAAGTCACAATCCAAATTATGAGTACTGATTATTTCCTTCCTTCCTTCCTTCCTTCCAAGTGTGGAAGCACTTGTAGGAGCTTTTACAAAATTTTCTTTGTTGTTGATCTTCTGCAGCAAAAACAATGGCATGTTTTCTGGCATCTTAAAGACTAGCAGGTTTTATCTTCCTTCCTTCCTTCCTTCCTTCCTTCCTTCCTTCCTTCCTTCCTTCAGGGTTTACGTCAAAGTGGGTTCTACGGACCCATTCACAGAATGCTTAACGGAGGCCACATCCCCAAACAACCGTTTCCGCTGTACGCTGGAGCAGCAGCCGGTCATTTCGTGCCACGACAGCTTCAGCCCTCAATTCCAGATTGACTGGTGCAACCTTACTTTGGTGAGAGGATATTGGAGGAAGTGTGGGAGGGTGAGAAGGAGCGGTGCTTCAAAAAGTTGTGGATCGTTTTGGACTCTGCCTCCCAGTACCTCCTAGGGAGGTTGTGAGAGTTGTAGTCCAAAAAAAGAGCAACTTTTCTAGACTCTGCCAAGGAGCCATTGGACAGCTTTGCCAAGGCAGTCTCTCCTTCCATTCTCTTTTCCTCTTCCTCAGGCCAGTCCCACCAGGAAGAATGTCACGGTGCTGATTTACGGAGATGGGGTGCTTGAAGAAGGCAGCGAGTTCAATCCTCCAGATAGTGTTCCTGACAGGGAGTTCTTTGATGACTTTCTCCTCACTTTTCTCCTTACTTTCCTCTTGGCGCTTCTCCTCTGTCTCATCCTGGCCTACATCATGTGCTGCAGGCGAGAAGGAGTGTAAGTTGGGCAAGTAGGCAGGAGGGAGCTTGTGGAAGATTTAAGGGGAGGCCATGTGTTGTCTGTATGGAATGTGCAGAAGCAGATCGGTAATCTGCATAAAGCCAACTTGTGTATTAAAAAAAACCATCAACCCATTGGCCAAAATCCCCTTGTGTACTACTCAAATTGCATAACTTTGGAGCAAATTGCCCCAAGTTAAGAGGTCACCATAGATGCTGAATCACACAACACAGGATTAGATAATGTCTAAATTTCTTAATTTAAAGCAATTTGCCTCCCAGAGTAACACCATGTACGCTGTGCCAGCATAACTAGGCAAGATGTTCAGAGCTATTATATATGATGGGCTCCATCCCTCTAAAAAGGAGCATTAGGACCTTCTGCAGAACCAAAACCTGGAAAGTTACTTGGGAGATCTTCAGTTTTCCAGAATCCTCTAATCAGCATTACCAGCATGCAAAAGTAACTTTCCCAAGCTTTATGCATATATTACTCAGGAAAGTTATAAGCCTTCAGTCTCCACAAAGTCATTAGCAATGGAATATATTCCCTCTGCTTTCCCCTCGCAAAGATATTTTTGTTCAGCTTGGAGTAAAACTGTAAGTCACAAAATAGAAGTGGTCCCAGCCTTTCCCTGTTTGATATGAGGTCCCTGCCATCGGGCAACCATAATCCAAATGACTAATACAAAGTGCCATAGTATGAAAGAAGACCTGGAAATATGCACAGCCAATAAATGAAGCTCATGTTCCTACCTAAAGAATGCACATTAATTCACAAAACAGGTAACTGGTTATGTGCTTTTAAAAGACGGGCCAGACAAGCAATATGCTCATTTGCATATTGTAATGAAGCACATTTGATTTTTTAAAACATTTCTGGTGTTCTCTTTTAATATTAGACAGAATTAATAGGATGCATGCTAAGGTACATAGCTAGAGAGTTGAGGCCTGCATTCTGTAACAGAAAAGTTAGCCTCTGCTGGCCTCAGCTACCAAAATCCCATGTCTCACCCTCTCATGTTCAGCAAAGTCATCAAGCTTTTCTAGAGTTCTTGCTTGCTTTTTTATAAAATAAGTTAATCTTTTGTCTGTAGGGGATAGATGGTTGAAAGACGTGGAAGTATAGGGGTGCTGGGGGCTTGCAAAAATGGTTGTGGGGGTACATGCAGTGCCCAAGCTGCATGTTGCCCACCCCATTCTGAAGGTACCCCTTCCCTATAAGGTACCCTCATTCTTGCAACTCCTCTACCCCCACCTGCAGAAAAGTCTTATGTTTTCTTAAGTGATGCCACCCCTTCTCTGCTTCAAACCTCCTCTTGAAGCATGGTCTGCCGTTCTCCTCCCTTGACTATGAAATGTGGTAAAGTTCAGTGTATACTGTAGCAGGGACGTGGTGGTGCTGCGGGATAAACCGCAGAAGCCTGTGCTGCAAGGTCAGAAGCCCAGCAGTCGTAGGATTGAATCCACGTGACGGAGTGAGCTCCCGTCGCTTTGTCCCAGCTCCCGCCAACCTAGCGGTTCGAAAGCATGCAAATGCAAGTAGATAAATAGGGACCACCTTGGTGGGAAGGTAACAGCGTTCCGTGTCTAAGTCGCACTGGCCATGTGACCACGGAAGATTGTCTTCGGGACAAAAATTGTCAAGGGGTCTTGGAAACGGGGATGCACCGCCCCCTAGATTCGAACACGACTGGACAAAAATTGTCAAGGGGAACCTTTACCTTTACCTTTATCAGTGTTTACTGTTGTGTACTGACTTATTTATCGGTAATACAGAATGCATAAGATATGTAAGAATCAACTTTTTTTTCATTTTCTTTTTTCCCTTACGATATGAACCAACTCTTTATTTATTTAACTTCCGTATATAGCAATCTCTGAGCAGTTTAAAACAGTAAATTCAATCAAATGAAACCCAAACAAAATAAACATACAACTAAATCAACAAATAGTTGGTCCCGTGATACAAGCAAACCTGACTTTAAATAAAATAAACATGTAAACAACTTAAAAAGCTAGGCCTAGATTGCACCTCAGCTGGAAATGTTTTCTCAGCAAGAACTGTAGTTTAGGCTGTAGCTTAGGATGAAACAGTTTACACAATTAGCAATTGGAATAATATTCTTCTTCTTGGGCGGGTGGGAGCTTAATCTAGTTCGAGATCCTAGAGTAGGGTGAAGGTATTACCCCTTTGTCCTGTTTTCTTTGGGAGGAAAGTTCCAATTTGAACTAAATGAAGTTTTCATCCAGGACAAATAACAGATACAGCCCATGGTGATGCAGATCAAGGGGATTCTTAAGAGCTGCACTTTTCTATGCTCTGAAACAGGGTCAGCAAGAGTACGCAGGACAGTTTATTTTAATTTAATTAATTTTTTACCTCGCTTTTCTCCTTAAAAGGACCTAAGGCAACTTACATTTTTAAAAGACACAATAGTGAGTATACAAATACTAAAAATGATTGAACAAATACCATACTAAAAAAACATCAGCAACACCTAAACACATTCAAAGCAGTCAGGTACAACAATCCATTTAAAAACCACACTCAGGCAGTGAGTCACTCAGGAAAAGCTTCCCTGAAGAGAAAGATCTTTGCCTGCTTGTGGAAGGATGGCAAAGATAGGGCCAGTTTGGCCTCCTCTGGAGGGAGTTCCAGAATCTGGGAGAAGCAATAGAGAAGTGAGCTCTCTTGAGTCCCTATCAAGGTGGTGGGATTGAGAAAGGCCTCTCTTGATGATCTTGACACTCGAGCAGACTCATAAAGGGAGAGGTGGTTCTTGAGATGCCTTGGGCCCATGCCATTTAGACTTTATAGGTTAGAACCAACACCAACACAGTTACTATTTTGATATAGCTGAGTCTGCTTTTGAGAGAGAAGATGATCTTGTCATAATCACTGTTTTTCACTTTGTTTTCATTGTAGGGCCAAAAGGGACATCAAGACCTCAGAGTAAGTTGATATCTCCTTTTGAATATGCTGCATTCTCAGTCACATTGGGTTTTAGGAAATGGTTTTAATTTCACGAAACTCTTGGCTATGTGATGTCATCATCATGCATTCTATTCCCATCCACCCACAATTGTGTTTCTGTTAATGAAATCTCTTTTCCCATGGCAGTCCCACAGTCCTCGTTTCAAAAGTGAGGTGTCCTAAAGCAAACACAATGATTTTAAATCTAAAGATGAGGGTGATATCTTTATTAGACCACTAAAATCCCACAAAGTGAAGCTAGCTTTTAAGTCTCACAGGGCCCTTCATCAAAAGTATCACCCGGACATGTCTTTGGAATGTGGGCAAGGGCTACATGGCTTTTTCCTTTTATATATTATATATATGATAAAGCCACAGAACAGCCTCTCCCAATGTTGTGCTTTGAACTACAATTCCTATCATCCGCAGCCAGCATAGCTTTGTCTGCTGAGATTATTGGGAGCTATAATCCCATGCATTTTCAGCACACTAAACTGGGTGAAGAAGCTGCCATTGAGTTATCTAATGCTGTAAGTCACAGTTTTAGGATGTACCAATTCTGCTTGTTAATCAGGCTCTTACCATCAGCCTGAAATGTCCATGTTCTTTTTCTAGACTGTAGCTCCCAGGATCCTAGAGCAAGTGGTTCTCAACCTTGGATCCCCAGATGTTCTTGAACTATAACTCCCAGAAGCCATAATCGCTAGCTGTGCTGGTCAGTATTTCTGGGACTTGTATTCCAATAACTGGGGACCCAAGGTTGGGAACCACCACTCTAGACAGCATATTCTAGTCCAAAGAAATAACATTGCTATATTGGACCAAACCATTAACAAGGATGCATGCGCAGCACATGCTGATATCCAAACAAGGACATCACAGAGTGCTTGTGATCCCATAATTCACCAAGCTGTTCTCATGGCAACCATTTAGTTCAAGCCCCACCCCTTTAACCTCATAACCTCTGGCAGTGGTGGGTGGCCCAGCCATAACTTCCTTGAACAGGAATCCCACCCAACAACATCTTCCGAATTGTGTAAGGCAGACACTCTGAAGACTCCCAAAAAGAACCATCTGACCAAAACACCCTTGAACTTGGGAAAATACGTGAACTACAGGAGACGTGCCTGGCAAGCTTTTGGGATTTGGACCATGGTGGGGAAGTAGCAACTCAAGCCAAACCTGAGAAGAAATGGGTAGCTTAAATGAAACTCCAGTGATTTTCTCATTGCCAAGAATAGAATATCCAGATGAAGGAAATTCCGAACAACTATCTCCCTACTTCTCCGACTCAAAGATGCAGGAAAATGAGACCTTTGATGAAGCACAACCATCTTGCTCTGGCCTGCATTTACAGACCAAATCCAGCTCCAGGACAAAAAGTCAAGAGACCCAGAAACCTCCTTTCCCTTGGAAAACCCTTCTGCCCAAACGTGGCATTTCCAAACTCATTTTCCAGGTGGTGGCTTCCGCAGAGAAACGCACCGGTGTATCCCTGCAAGCTCTGAAAAAGAGCGTCGTTGCCACGGGCTATGATCTTGAGAAGAGGAAGAATTACTTCAAGAGAGTCCTGAGGGCTTTGGTTGCCAAGGGTTTGTTGAGGAAGCTGACTGGCCATGGTCTAACCGGGTCCTATGCCATCAGCAAGATGATGATGAAGGTGCTCAAACGGAGGAAGAGAAGAAGGAGAAGGAGGAGAAGGAAAAGGAAAAGGCAAAAACAGGTAATCGTAAATCTCAAGACAAAGAAAGCTGCCAAAAGAAGGAAGAGAAGGAGGAGAAAGAGGTCAAGGAGAAAGAAGACCAAGTCAAAGAACTCAGACTCATCTGGATTGTGTAGTCAAATGCCAATGACATCCAGTTTCCACAACTGAAGCTGATTGTAAGGAAAAATAATAATAAAGTGCCATATTTCAATTCTCTCTCTTTTTTGCTTGTTATTTGGACCATGAGAAAACTCTTAAGAATTGTGAATTTGTGCTTGCCTCAACCTAAGCATTTTTCATGCCTTACCACCCTATATATACACAGTACAGCTCAGTCCGTTCAGTGGTATCTTTTGACTCCCCAGCATAGCATCTTCAGCAGGCAGGAAGGCCTGCTGTGTAGAGAAAAGTTCTGTTTTAGGCAGACCATTTGTATATGCCTAAAACTTGATTCAACACTATACATGAAATATTAATTCCACATTTCTGTGTCATATGACCCTCAGGCCATTTAGCTTGGTTATGTAGATCAGGGGTTCCCAAATTTGGGTCCCCAGATGTCCTTGGATTAAAAATCCCCAAAACTTTCACCACTAGCTATGGTTAGGATTTCTGGGAGTTGTTGGTCCAAAAACATCTGGGGACCCAAAGTTGGGAGTCACTGAGGTAAACAGATAGGGGCTGGGATTCTGTTGGTGTTTGTGTGAGATTTCCAGAACTTGCCACACCTAATTGAAGCTAATTGACAAGATGCTGGGGCACATCTCAGTTGCCCATTTGGGTGCATGAACTGGCATGTGACCAAGATGCACTTTATCAGTTAGCTATAGCAAGTTGCACAAATGTGAATATGAGGATTCTGGTCAGTCTACAGATAAATATGGAGATTATTGACCACTATATTATTTTTGTTATCAGAAACTGGAGGATTGGTCTTATCACTATTTTGAAAGAATTGTTACATTTAAAAGTCTCAAAGGATAAAGATATAATAACAATTTGTCAATTTAAGAATAGCCCCTTTATCCAATTAAGATTACCCAGGCAACCAGGTCTACAGAGTTTTTGGCCTTCAGTTCCCATGATCCCTTTCTTCATTAGCCATGCTACCTTGGGCTTGTAGGTGTTGTATACCCAAATATCTGGGGAGGAGGGGACACCAGTTTGAGGAAGGATGTTTTCTGAAATGGCAGAGAAATGAACTGCCTCAGTTACTAATGCTTGGCATTGACTTCATGAGAGTTAAACCCAACCTGGACATCAACAAACAAGAGCTTTTCCTTTTCTTAATAGGATTAAGAGATAAAATAGTTTCCCTTTTTTGTTTCTGATTTTGTTGTAACATATTGTTTCCTCCCTCTCTGAGTTTTGCATGATATTTTGACAAATGCTGGGTTTCTATGATGAGCATTAGTATTCTAATACATATTTTTAAATGAATGCAGTTTATTTATTGCATGAATACTTATTTGTATCTTTCCTATAATTTTCTAATATTTCCTTCTTTCCTATATTGTAATAAAATGTTATATCTTAGAAGAATGGAAAAGCTAAGGTCTACCCATCTCTGTATTTCATATTTTGAGTTCCATCACCACTTTATGCAAATACACTTTTAATTTTTTTAAATTGTTTAATTTTCGGAAGTAAAGGCACTGTTGATTTTTAAATACAGGTATTGCTTTATTGTCATAAGGATGCAGAAGTCCATTCCAGAGGACAGGTTAGGCATCCTTCAAACTTTGACTTGGCTTTGAACAGCTTGAATAGAAGGCATTCTGCTTCTGTTGGAAGCTCTCTTAGAGGAATCGACCTTCCCTTGCTTCTTGGTGGCGTTCCTGCCACTTCTGGATCTAGTTGGGCCATTTTTCTTCTTGCTGGACCCCTTTGCCTTCTGACCTCTTCCTTTCACCTTTGGTTGCTGTCGTTTCTTCCGCAAGTCAGGATTGACCTTGAAGGAGCCTGTGGCTCCGGTTCCTTTGACTTGCCAGAGCTGCCCTTTAGCCACCATGCTTTTGATAGACCTCAGGAAATAGCGCTTCTTCTTGGCCATGTCGTAGCCCATGCTTGTCACAATTTTCTTCAGGGCTTGCATGGACAGGCCTGACTTTTTCTGGCACGTGGCCACAGCTGTGAGGATCAGCAAGGAAAGATTGGTGGAAGGTGGCTTGGGCACAACAGGTCTGGATTGGCTGAACTGCCGAACAACTCTTTGGGTATGATTTGAATCCATGGCCATCCGTGCCCTAGTGGGGGTTCTGCCCCTTTGCAGTGAAGGATCCAGGAGGGCAGGAGACTCTGTTGACTGAGTGTTCTGGGAAACTTCAGATTCTTCAGTGTTTTCTGACATTGGAGGTGAAACTATGTTAGCTGAGTCAGAGGCATTGACTGAAGAAACTGCTGGGCATGCAGTTGACTCCATGATATTGTTCAGAATGGGCTTTTTGTTTGGCCCCCTGCTTTAACACGTAGATATTTTTGGCAGTTTGAATCTATTCTTGTATCTGGTTGAAAGGGAATCGTCTTTCTTTTTTTCCTTTCCTTTCCAGATCTGAAAAAAAAAGGGGGGGGGAATCAACAGGGAAAACAAATGTCCCTTTTAACCACTTTTTGAATTGTATTGTCCATAAATGTCTGCCACGTCTCTCACTTAATATAGATGGATTTGGAGGAATTGTGGCACTCAAGATAGGACCACATTCACAAAGTCACTTATTCATTCACTCACCCACTTCTTGTCTTGATCAATGGGATCCTTGAATAAACAACTGCTTTCTTGTGAGAATCCCTCCTCGAGTTTTGACATCCACACCTAGTATCACTTTTTAACTTCCCCCAACAATAACAGGTTGGGTAGCTTGGCATGTAGAGGATCTCAAGTTGATGGTGCTCTGCTGCAAGGCAAATAAATCTTATCCATCTCACCAAGACAGTTTGAGTATTCAGGCCTAGCTGGTTGTCATGGTCACCTTTGTGACATCATCTTGGTGGTCTGTGATGTCATGAAAACACCATCTGAGAGTTTACATCACATCTGTACTCTTACTACTCAATAGTATGGTGCTCCCCAATCAGTTTTCCAAACTTTAGAACCATTCATTAGCCAAATAAAATATGAGCATCTCCCAAATATAACTACAACATTGTTTAGTATTTATATTATATATGAAGGGGTGCCTGTTAGGTTGATATGAAAATAGGAGGAAAGGGAATGAGATGTTGGTCAATTATGTCTGTCCAACAGATTCAGGCCCCCAAAATTAAGTAAATAGTGCCTTAGGAATTTGTGGTAGTTACATTAGTAGAATAAAGCAGGCAAATAAAGTGAATGTACATCTGTTAATTAGAGAGTTAGAATGCTCATAGAAAAGTAAATGGAAAAAGGTATGTTTATCATTCCAAGAAAGTCAAGATAAAACAGAATAAAATATTTATGTTGAATATAGAAGCGTCTAGAACCTGCTTCTGTATGTGTCCAGTGGTGGACCTATGCTTTGGGGGCCCTGAATCTTGAAAACTTATAGGGGCTTCTTCACAACCCCTATTTTCAGTGGCTATCCACTATTATCTTTTTCAGTGGGGTTGCTCTTCAACAGATTTTTTATAAAAAAAAATATGGACCAAAGTCACTCCTGGGGCCCTCTGGA